GTTTCATTCTTTGTCATTTGTTTGTGTTTGTGACTGGTAGAAATTTGATAGGACCGCCTTGTTGTGTCTTTTTTTCTATAGTTTCATTCTTTGTCATTTGTTTGTGTTTGTGACTGGTAGAAATTTGATAGGACTGCCTTGTTGTGTGATGAGATGATGCTCTTAATGTTAGCCATGCAGGAGTAGCTGAACTTTAGCGTGTGTTTGTTAAAGGTCTTGTGCAGGGGGTGTTCTTTTGGAAAGCATCTGTTTATGATGTTTATGAACTTTCTTCCCAGGTTAGTTTTCATGTTAGTGTTCCATGGGGGATTGTACCAAATGACTTTTCTTTTGTGATTTCTGTTGCGCGTTGGCTGTGGGTTGTGTGCAAGCTCGTATATATATACTTGTGGTGTTTACGTATCTAAAGGGGTGTTGTCTCAAACTCATGTAAAGTGATTCAGATACTTAGATAATCCCTGATGTAATACAATGATGATGCAAAAAGCCCTTCTAATCCCCTAACAATCCACAGTGTATAGTGATAGGACTTTGATTATTTTTTGAAAAGAAAAAAAAAAGACCAGAAATACCAGAATTAAAAAAATTAGAAAAAAAGTTTGGAAGAAAAAACCTACCACCACCCCTGCCAACATTTGGCAGGCTACTGAAAAGGTGGTTGAACGTATTCTACAATAAAGAAAAAAATTGCAATATATAATATATTTATATTTATATATTTGTGGTGTTTACGAATCTAAAGGGGTGTTGTGTCATAAGCTCATTTAAAATGATACAAATACTCAGATAGTCCTGATGTAATGCAATGCCCTCTGCATTTACCTATAAAGAAACAAAACCAAGCTTTAGAAAACCTCACATAAAAGTAAATCATTTTGTTTTAGACCACACTTACAAGTAATATGCTTTTTTTTTCTACTTACCTTTTTTTTCAATTTTATCTAAGAGACTGTCTAAACAATGCATCATAGAGCTGTTTACCCTGAAATTGTGGTGCAGCACAATAGGAATAAACCTTTCTTTGCACTTTTTCCTGTTTGTAATAAACAGCACAGGTGTTCTTATTATTTGAGCTTGGTGCGAATAGAGTAATCGAAGCAGGTTGTTTTGACACGAAAGTGCAATTATAGGCATGCAGTACGTGCTAACGTAAACAAGGCAAGTAAACAAGCAAAGCGAGGCAAATGTCTGCCATGTGAACGTCGTTCAACACTACATATTCTCCTTCATCGTTTTCGCAAAGTAAACCAAAATCCAGAAAACGTGTCTTTGGAATCTCGCGCAAAATGTAGTTTTTTTAACCCTCAACACTCCCAGGCGGATTCATATAAAAAACTCTTCTAGTATCTCCAATTTGAACTTAAATTTGCATCACCATGTTGACACAGGCAGACTTTGAAAACAGAATACGCTCCCATGAAAAAACCTTAAAACTTAGAATTAAACTTACGATCTATGTTAATGTTAACAGAATTGCCAGAAATGGTTACAGTGTTTGAGCAATTTTTCCAGCTTGAATACAGTGAAAGTTACAATGTATGCTTATAACATGCACAGTGATGCCAGAAATAGGGTTATCACTACCGTATGCCACTTGAAACACTCTCGGCTCTGAACTACAACTCATTCATTTTAACTGTGGGAATTATTGGTGTTGATTCTCATGCTAGAGATATATATGGTAACAGTCATAGTCAATGTCCGACACCTCCACAACCACAACCTGCCGATGCATAAATTAGTACAATATTTTCAGAGTCTATATACATGTAGGAATGAGACCACCTATCACAAGCATCTGTTAGAAGACATTCTCTTCACAACTCAATATATACAGTACCACAAGTGAAGGGTAAAGCAATATGTTTTTTATCTCTCACCTATATTTCGACCATGTTAAACGGCCTTCCTCTGGGTGAATGGCCGTTATAAGCATTACACACCAAAAACGAACGAACAAATTTGAAAATTTGCGCACGCCACAAAGGAAGATAAACACGCGCATGCTTTTACTGGATGCAAGACCTAGTCGCCCTATTCTGGCTGTAAAAGAAATCACTTATATTCAAGCCCTGAGGCTGAATACATGTAGGAATGAGGATGTATATGAGCTTCGAGGTGTACATATTGCCAACTTTGAAGTTGATCTTTGTTCAAGCAGTGTTAAATACTGTAGTATATCAAATGTTAATAGTTTGTACCAATGTTCTTGTAAACTGTGCTGTGCCAGTTTATGCAATGTGTTACTCTGTTATTAATCCATGTGGATACTGGACTTAGGAACTTTGTCTGCTCTTGCTAGTAATGGGAATACACTGTACCATGTGATGGGTGTGAAAAGAAATATTATGCCAGTTGATCTTCCCAAAAGTGAGAGTGTCAGTGGAGCTGAGATAAGCCGTACTGTTTGTACTGTAAGCAATGGTGTCCTATGTTGCAATTTCGCTGAGAGCAAATCTGTGTTGAAGATGTGCATTTCAAAACATTGTCATGAAGTGACAGGATTTTTGTTGTGGATTGGAACATACTGTAGAAGCTGTTTAGTTCAGGAAAGACGTAGAGTAAAGGATTTATCTCTTCTTGTGGGATATGATGACAGGTCTTTTGATCTTTGGATGCCTGGCCTTCTGGTCTAAAAACAAATTTAGCTACTGTATTTACAACAGCAATCTCAGTAAGATGAGAAAGCATAGTTTTCCACCATGGCACACATTAATTTTGTGCTGGATGTTAAATGCGGTGAGGATCTGGTCTGACCGGTCAACTGCATTCATTTTCAGGTTTTAAGTCTGAAAAATTTGAGGCTGTCAAACAAGTCTTTCTGTCGATATTCCGGCATTCCTTACTTGCCGGGACACCTGGACTTGGTCATTAGCATTGCACACAGTTCTAATCATGGACGCGACCTTATTATCTATCCACTGCAAAACTAAACAGAGAGGGTCCTTCACCTAAGGAATTGAATTACTGTTTACAGTGATGATGAAATAATACTGACCTGAAAGAATCTCATTCACTTCTGCAACCAGGGGTGCAGCTGAAGCAACAGGAGGTGCGTGAAGACAATGATTTATTAATTTATTGGTGGTTAAATTTTATTATTAAGTGGGCATCTAACAAGTGTAACACTATGGTGTGGTCCATTTGCATTAAATGAAAGTTAATTTAAATTGTTTAATTTGGGACGAGGAGTTTTAACTAATGTCTCTGATAGGAAAACTGGCTTAACTCAATAATCACCTTTCTGTGACTCTGCCCAACTGGTGGAGGCAATGGCCCTCAGAAATGTGGACTTAAAATTCTGGTCTGTGGGAGGTGTGTGCTGCCTTTGTTCAAGGGGATGAATAGCAGTTTAATTGAACACATGAAGAGTGGCAGCTATATGCAGTTTTGGTTTTTAGTAAGCCTTCTCCTTCCTTTGTTGCATCATTAACTTCAGCAATGAACCTCTTCTCTTCATTGAGTGTCTTGACGTTGTAATTGCCTTCTTGGGTGAAATTGAAAGTTGAGCAGGAAGTATACAATCAGCAGTTTGGATTAACATATTGTGGCAGTTTTACAGTGTGCTTCCTTGTAAGGTTTCTACTGCTTGACACATGGCCATCTCAAAGATCTGATAAGAAACTCACTTGACCATTTTGGTGTTACACCAAGCAACAGTTTCCACACATGATGATGTTTGGAGTTTGAACATGTGTCTGATTGTGCCAACATAGCTGAAGGTGATTTAATAAACAGCTCTGTACAGGTTTAAATTAGCCTTGTTGAACATTTGTTTTTTCTTTTTTACATAAGCTCCTGGGAGGAAAATGGAAATGAGTCTTTGAGCTTGTAGTAAAGACAGTTTGTCTATGTGATACAGATTCTAGACACAAAGCTAATGTTTATGCCAAATCTATCAGAAAGGTCTTGAACAAACAAGCCAGTGTTCAGTCCTATCAACACTAAAAGAAAATTACCCAGTGGAATTTGTTTCTTTGAAGGACTGTTTTTTCCTGGTATCAATTTAATGAGACTGGCTTTCTTTAAAAAATCTTTGTTTGATGCACTCGAAGAAGCTGATTAATGCTTCATAGTTTTGTAAACCAGTGTAAAACAGGATTGCACTTTTATCATGTTTGATCTTGTCTAGTAGAAATAGACATCCCCCAGGAATTGAAATCTTTTCCTACCCTTCCTTAAGTCTCCCTTCACTGCTGGGTAATTTGGTTTCCAATACAACCATTTTGGCTCATAGATCATGAAGGACATTATGCTTATTGTATAGCCCATATATTAGTCTAAATAATTAGCAGTCTGATCAGGATTGTTTTTTTCTAGCCAGTACAGTTATGTTAAGAGAATAAAGTTTAGGAATTAGGGTTCAAAAGGACCCATAATAACTGGTTACTGGTCAAACAGTTGATGTGATAGTTGCTATTTAGACAAAAACCTACCTTTCTTCCTTTTAACTCCAAGCAAGCAGAGTTCTTTATGGTTTCTCTTCACGAATATGTGCGAAAAGTGGGAGGTGCATCACATTGCCTGCGAAAAGTAGAAGAGCCTAGGATGTATCTTGAAATGGAGAATGTTATCAATTCCCTTTAGTATAAGCCACAACAGGCTCAAAATGGTCAGTGTTGGAAGCAGAGCCATGTGTTCTTTCTAGCAAGGAACATGCACCAAACAGAGATTTCATTAATTTCAGAAGTCGGTGTACATTAGGACATAGGCAGGCAGCTATGACTTTCAAGGGCCTTTGGTCCCATCCTCAAGGGGGGTCATGGGGCAAGCCCCCCCCAGAAAATTTTGACATCTGGAAACCCGGAAACGCAATTTCCAGCATTCTGGAGCCCAAAACTAAGTGCTAAAGATCCCAAGATTAAGAGCTAAAAAATGGCAGTTCCTACTAATTTTCCTGTATTTATCAATTTTTTTTACCGTTTTATTGATGATAATTACAAAAATCACAAATAACAATAATTAAAAAAAGTAGACACAATTTATCAGATTATATCATAATCTACTGTCAAATCATGGTAATTGCTAGGGGGTGGACCACAATTTTAAAAATTAATAGAATCAAAACTGTAGGTGCTGTATAGTAGCCATCCTAATAATATTTTTATTATTGTTCAAAGCTAAGTTAAAATTCATTTGAATGAAACTAGAAATACAACTGCTGATTATGGGAGGGCTAAAGTTTGATAAAATTAAATCCTCAGAAAGTCCTATTCTTTGACAAAATCGGAGTCATAAGCAGAGTCCCCAGAGCTATCATAAGTGCATCTGGCTGGGGTAGGTTCATTTCTCTTAAAGCTGCATTTACTTCTAGTTCTTCTTGCAACATTTCATCTTTTGACTTTTCCATTTCTTCATCCTCTAAACTGATAATCTGTGTCTGCTGTTGTATGGAGGTCAACTTGTACTGAAGCATCAGAAAATGTTGTCTTCCCAGCTTCCTTTCCTTTTGCAATTTTCTGTCTTGGCTTGATCTTCATCGACTCGTTTACTGTGGCTTTATTAAGCTGATCAGCTTCTTTGACATCAGGGCCATTCAGGTCTACCTCAACGACAGTAGCTCTGATTCCTGTCAAACCCCTGTGAGACTCGACTGCCTGCTTCATGTCCTCTGCAGTTAGAACATCATGTTTTTCGTTTATCCACCTTTTGATGTGGGCCTTCATTGAGGCTATCTTACAATCACAGATATCCCTGCTTGCTTGGGGGTCACTGAAGTCGTAGTGGACGACTTTTGTACCAGAACGTGCACAGACCGCTGGCAAGCCAAGAAGAAGTGCTCTGTTCTTGAAACAGCCAGCATTATCTGAGCATACGAAGCATTGCTTGAGAGTTAGATACTCTTCTTTTAGAGTTTTTAGAAGATGTTCAATGACGGATGTAATAGCAAAGCTGTTTTGGTTGCATGTATTGCAAAGGTGAACAAAACATTCAACTTTAAATTTCTTGGCAGTCAACTTAGTAATAACAGTACTAACGTGCCAACTTCGACCATGCTTACCAAAAAACCCACTCATTTGTTCACGGAAAAGGTGGGATAAAGATTTCATTGCCCAGTCCATTACTATTAAGCAACTTTCTTCATTGAGCTGGTCGAGTACATCCTGTTTTGCCTCTTTTTGGTTGACGGAGCGTAAAAGGTGTGCCTTCCAGGCATTAATGTCCTGAAGGTATTCTTTGTAATCAAACATCATTCTCACTTTCTTTTCTTCATTGATACCAAAGTTCTCTAATTCTTGCAACACCTCAGTGATCACATTTTCCAAGGCATCACATCTTTCACAGTTGGTTTCGTGATTGTGGTTACACTCTCTGGACGGGTAATAAAATTGAGGAGATGGTCCACTTTTGCAGCGTCCATTTTTGTGCGGAAGATTGGCTGTTCTGGGATGGGCTGGCCCTGACCTGTGTGGATCACATGTTGCCACGTCTGGTCAATGGGCCATTTTGAAAGCCTGGGAATCATTTGCTGGAGTTCAGCACAGCTAAAATCATTTGCAAAGAGCGACAAAATCTGTTTCTTAGTCTGTCTCTGATTCATAATCATAGAATAATTATTGAAGGATTTTCTTTTTGGGGAGCTCCCAGGATTTGGACTTTCTAACAAAATTGGGGCTTTACGCAGAGTGCTCCATGTCTGGTTTTCTTGACCAAGACACATGACGAAAAGCATACTAGTAACTGCTTCAGTAGTCTTCCGTATGTAGTAGCATGTTGGGTATTTGGGATATCATCCCAGGAAGTATTAAGGGTGGACAATAAGGGGCTGTGCCAACCACTCACGATACTTCAGCAGCCTCATTAAAAAATAATTAAAAACAATTGCTGATCCCCAAAAGGGTAAGTGCAAACAGGACCCTAGACCCATGCAAGGCACCGCCCTGTTGTTACTTACAATTACAATTTCAGTTTCAATGTTGTTAAATAGCTCATTTACCCTTGAAGAAAAAATTAATTCAAACCTTGATATATATTAACAAGAGTAAATGAAAAAGCACAAGAAAGTGGATGTGCACAGTCACTTTGACCTGTGACAGGGACAGGTCATCACTAATGTGCTCGTGCAAGATCTTTCCACCTAACTGGAGTGGTGAACATAGGTTTATAAACAAACTGCTTAAAAGACGGTGTCCTAGATAAAATCTACTAGGGGACTAAAGTGAACAAACAAAATATCATAACTTAGTAATACAATTAAAATAGGAGGCCTTAAAAGTACTGGTTCTACAAAGAGGAGTTTTAAGACTGAAAGGATTACTTTGTCTGGTGTCTTTCACCTCTGCCTGGTTTTCTCAGACAATGATTCTTAAATTGATTGTTTCGCGTTTCGTCTTCGTAGAGTAGTTCTCTTAGCTTGGGTGTAAGACTTTCATTGATGTATAGCTTGTTATTATGCAGAAAGCTTAAATCCTTAGCAGTCTTGGTGCTAAATTTGCGTCTTGCATTGTAAAGTCTGTCCCTCATATCTCTGCGGCAGAATTTCACAATGATTGGAGGAATGGTTCCTTCCCTTGACAGCAGTCGATGACTGATGGAAATGTCGTCATCTTGAAGAGGGTGCTCAGGATTGACCAATTGTGGAACCTTGAGGACAATCTCATGTGTTGCTTCGTCTTCTAATACTGGGATTCCATGAAAGTCTAACATACAGCCGTACCACGTCAAAGGTACTGCTTATGCTTTCTACCTCCTGTTCATTTGCAATGATGTTGTTGTCCAGTTCGTCAACTCGTGTTTGCAGACTTTTGTCTTCCTTGTGAAGCTCAATGTTCTCCTCCTTTAGTTCTTTGATTGATTTGAATGCTTGATGGAAATTCGTGCTCGTAAAGTCTTGGCTCTTTTTAATTTCGTTGATTTCTTGCTTATATAATTTATAGTGCCTTAGCATCAGATCAGTGAGTAGGTCAGAGTGTTGTCTAAAGTGGCGGTCCATTAGATCTTCAAGGCTTTCACGCCATTTAGTTGGAGACGCCATATTGTTTTCACCTTTGGTTTCCTCGGTTTCGTGAATTATGACTTGGCTTTATTCTTTGCTTTTGGAGGCATGGCCCTTCCGAGTCTTTACAACAACAGCTCAGTGAGAGGCACGTCAAGTGTATCTTTACAGAGACAAGTCTGCTGATCTGAAGAGGAAAGCTTTTGATTGTTCTAGTGTGCAAGTGAGAGCAAGCTCTTCCCTTTTCTTAAGCAATTTATGTCTGATCTACATTTGCACGGGCAGCATCTCTCATCTAATTGTCAAAAGCTGCCCCCAAATTGCAATCTTTGTCTTTTTTCAATTTAGTTACAAGCTGAAAACAGTCTCTCACCTGGCCGATGTTGGAGTCAGTGAATTTTTATGGCGAGCAAAAGCAAAGTTGACTTTGGGAAGGGAAATACCATTCAATGCTGTGACACCTGCGTGGTAGTCAGTTGCTTTGCTGGTGTCTACAAGAGTAGAGAAGATTTGTTGTACATCTGGGTCAGCTCCATTGGGGTAGCAGTAGAGTCAGTGTCACTTTACAAGCGACAGTGAAAAACTGAGGTCTGCAAATGCTAAATATCATTATTTTTATTTTTCTCCTATAAAATAAATAAAGGAGACTTACCTTTGATGTATTCCTGTGTTTTTTGGTGTGAATTCATCGATTTAGTCGGTTTTTTGGGCTGTTATATTGTGTGAGCCCTGTCACTCTCTTCATAATACGAAGCAAAGGCAGCACAGAAAAAACAGCCAATGTTCTGGACCTTGTCTACTCGAAGACGGTTTGCAGCCCGAAAACCCATCGAATTGCAGATTTTTTTTGACCAGAGGCATAGTTCTATCATTGCTACACCATAGTAAACATTCAAAAACAAAATAGCCACACGCATGTTGCTGGAAATGAGCATTTTCTTGTGCTATGCCAAAATACATTTTTTCTCCAGACACTGTTATTTTGAGAGTGGACACGGCGTTGGTACAAGGTCAAGTATCCCTCGACTGAGGGTGGCTCAGTCAACAAAAAAAACCTGTTGTGGTTTTTTGTTTTTTCATGTGCTGTATATTATGATTTTAATATTTTGTGTTGTAAGAATTTTCCAAAATGTAAGGGAATAATTGAAATAGATTGGACAGCACATGAATCGTTACTTTGTTTGGGAACCTATTTTGAACTTGAAAAATATTTATTGATTGAAAATTAATGGTTATTAATGGTTAGGTTTTTTTCTTAGTATCCTGTTTGACCTGAAATGTTTATTGGGTGTTTATCTCCTTTTTAATACCTCTATATACATTGTTAACAAGAGATTGGTGTGGTAAGAACGACAAAACTTTGTTTCAGTGAAAACAACACCAAAAAAAGGGTTTGTTTAAAGATGCTTATGCGTATTTAGCTGGTCCTTTTCTTGATAACTGGTGTCTTCAGCAAATTCCTCTGGACTGCATGGAGAATCACATGCTTGTAGAAGGCACAAGTGTAATAAATGGACCCAAGCGTAATAAAGGTCCCATCTATAATAACATTTGGACCCAAGCCTAATAAAGGTCCCATCTGTAATAACATTTGGACCCAAGCGTAATAAAGGTCCCATCTGTAATAACATTTAGACCCAAGTGTAATGAAGTTCACATCTGTAATGAACTTTAGTTCGAACTGATCGGAGATAATATGAGACATGTCCACAATAGTACATCTATAATCTTTAATCTTAAATTATATGGCTGACATGACCAAGCTATTTGAATGGAAAAATATAGGCCAACAACTCTTGTCGTGGCTCTCGGGCTAGTTTTCGCAATTACTGACCACGATTGGACGTGCTTTAAAAAAAAGGTCAGAGTTTCAGAACAAGCAAATATGTCGCATCTTTCCCGTTCTGTTCACTTTGATAAACTGATAGGTTAAGCAGTTTTCAATACAGTGGAATTGTGCTCATTTCCCTCCCCCTCTGTATTCATTTTGGTCATTTTCGCATCTTTTCACTCACGGCTGAATTTGGCCACATTTAGTAACAGAACTCCCTCAAAAGGTGAGGGATAAGTATTATGCTTCGCCTCGAGTTTTTCAACCTGACAATACACTCCTGCTCGTTTTCTGAGCAACCTAAAAATCTCCAATGTGGATCAACTCATTCTTGCTCTAATATCTAGACTTGGTCTTACTTTGCTCTACAAAATTGGAAAGAAAGTCTAGCCGTGTCTTTATTGGGTATAAAGACACTCGTTAAACACTAATTTCTTTTGTTTTTCCTTTATGAATTATTAATGACTTTTGAAATACCATGTACAATGTCAGGGGTCACTCGATAAAATCTCAGTTTCATTAATATCTTCATTGTTTTAACATTAGACTCACCCTTACTGGCCATAAAACATCGGAGCCAATCAATAAGTAGGCAATTCATGGCACGGAACAGAACAGGCAGAACCTAACAGGAACTGTTACATTCAAAAGAAATCAAATCATTGCATACTCTAGAGTGGGGCGTATGATTCAGAACAAATAATTCACAACTTTATTTTAGACCTTGACTTAACAACAGTTTTGATTCCATAGACCTTTCGCTTCCGTTTAAGTTCTGTGTCTTGAAAAGAGCAGTTAATTTACCCAACATTGTCTAGAATATCAAAACAACTCAAGAAGCGAGAGAAAGGCATTAAATATACAACAACGTAAAACAGAAAGTGATATGCATGGCAAGGAGTCAAGTGGTTCACGTAAGGATTTTGTCTACCGACTATTAAGTTAGAGCCACCACACTTTTGTTCCAGAAAACTAAAATAATGTCAATGATAAATATCTCAAGCCCTAATATGAACAAAATATCAGACTTTGCTGCATTCCGTTCCAATGAGCAGAGATCAATTAAACAAGGTTTGTTGCACAAATCACTATATTTTGTCGACTTGGTACTTTTTTCATAGGACTATGGAAAAGTTCTTTTGACATAACATAAACTAAGGAGCTGTTAACTAATAATTTTGTAGTTATCAAAACGCTCGAGTAAAACCCAATATTAAGCAACTCCAGCTGTTACTACTTAACAATATTCAAATTTTGTGCTCTCGGTAAAATTCTGAAATGTTATTGGCTGTTTGAGGAGTCTTAAGGCAGTATAAAACATGATTTTAATTACGGATTTCTATCCCTAGCTCTCAGTGACCATTTTATAAGTTTTACACAGTTGTTTTATTGAGCTCTTCTACTACCACTTCTTCGATTAAGAACACTCATTTTGAATATTAAAAAGGCCTAGAGAGTTAGTCGGACTTTACCAGACAGTAATGAATGCAATTTGTTGCGGCTGTTGTCTGAATGAACTTGATTTTTTTCATACTCTGCTTTGTGCAGTTTTTAAATTTCTTGTTCACTCTATGGCCAGAGCGTGCATTCATTTGCCAGTTAAGAGGCTTAGATCAGTTTAACAGTTTCTTGAAATATTTTTTGCCGTATTAAATTAATTTTTTCCTCCAGTACATACCAGTCATACAAAACCAACCATATGGTTGCGGCTCTAGTTTGAGCCAGGCGTGGTTCCATTGACTAGACTTGACTGCCTCCCGAACTGCTGCAACAGCACCACTGCCTGTGCCTTTTAACCTAATTATTTTTAGCTCGCTGATGACCTTTGTTTTTGCCTCTAGTTCAGGTATGTACACCCTTGCACAAGGTACCTTATCCGCTGTTGACTTAAAAAATCTGCTAACAGCTCTCATTGAAGTTCTCATGAATGGAAAAGCTGACAAAGCAGTCTTAATTATCATTTCAAGGACAATGTAGTTGAGAAACGGTTGAACATCAGCGTAGTTGTCACTGATAATACAGTCATCATGATCACCACCTTCATTTGTTTTTTTGACCGAAAAAAATTATTTTTCTTCCTCTTCTTCTTTTTCAATGAATATATCTTCCTACTTTTGTCCATCACTTCCTTATGTTTGCTTCTACACTTCCCACATATTGCTGAATAGAAAAGATTGAGTGCACTACTGAGTTCATCATGGTCTTGCAATTTTTATGACAACAGTAACAATTACAGTACTTCATCATCATCGTAATCGTCATTATCATTATCATCAAAAATTTTTCCCTTTTCTCTTTGTCTTCTCAAGGAAGAAAAACACTCATCTTGATAAAGAATTAAGTAATTAAATTACCGCAAAATTCTGCAAATTAGCTCCTCCGTGTATAATTAAGCCCCTCCAAATAAAAGCACCCCGGGGCTTGTACTTGGAAATTGCCCTTAAATACAAAGTAAAACAAAGCAAAAACAGTGAATGTACTTCCGTGGCTAGCCCAATCGATTTTGAAACCCAAATTTTCCTCCGTATATAAGCCCCTCCAAAAATAAGCCCCTCAAAAACGGTCTTTGAAAAATATAAGCCCCGGGGCTTATTTTCGGAATTTTACGGTATTATACGATTTTTAATTCTTATGTGATCCTATTCCCACGGTGACTTTAAAAACTGATTGTATGTTCTTTGCAGTCTCCAAACCAATTACATGCCTGTCGTTACAATGTTTTTTTCTTGGTCCACCATGCGATGGATATTGGCAAGAACAAGGTGGGCGCCAAAATTTTCGGAGTTTATGCCGATGTTGTGGGCAAATTACCATCTGTTGTACTTGATCTTTCGTGCATGGCCTTCGAGCGAGTAGATCGCACGATTTTTGAGCTCTAGTTCGGTGTAAATCTCTGTTAAATTTCTATTACTAAACCTAAAGCAAAGCAGAAGAAAGCGATGGATAAACTTAGCAAAGAAACGAAAAGTTGAGAACCAATTTACAAGCGACCAAAGAGGAGTTGGAGAAGCTTTCGAAGCTTTGAAAAATGTTTGCGTCATGGTGACTTCAATCTTTGTCTTTTGAAAAGTGAGGTATCGGAATTTAGTCAAAAAAAGTGTTCAAACGAAAATTAATCAGTGTGCCCTTCCAAATATTAAAAGGCAAAGATGATTACCTTGATACAACCATGATAACACAAGAAATAAAATCGCGAAATGCTAAACCTTAGCCTCTTTCACAGGTTGCATTAAACCGATTTGTCTTTCTTGCTTTTGAATTCATTACACATATTTCTTTTCTTTTTCTTTGCTTTTTACTTATTATAATATAATATCTGATTTGTGATAGAATTAATTTGGCACGCCTTGACTAGCGTTTTCTTGCTAACTGTGTGCCAAGCAGTTGTACTTGTAATGTTACGATAATAAATGTCTTTTCTTGTCTTGTCTTGTAAGGTCAAAATGACCGGCCCTTGACAGTAGAGACCTTGCGCAACAGGACGGCCCGAAGAGGACGGTGACATCTACACTCTTCTCGAAGTGTTAAATCCCCCTGAGAAAATCGTTTGTGAAAACCGTTTTTACGTTTACAGTGATGAAGCTCTCTGCATGCTTTTAAGACGGTTTGCATATCCATGTAGATAAGAAGATTTGGTACCAAGATTTGGAAGGGCTGTGCCGCAAATCAGCATGCTTGTGAATGAAATGATCAGTTTAATCTTTGCGCGACATGGTCATTTACTGACTGATTTTAACCAGCCATGGCTATCACCAGCAAATCTAGTAACGTTTGCAGATGCGGTTTATCGAAAGGGAGCAGCACTTGAAAACTGCTGGGGATTCGTAGACGGTACCGTGCGACCAGTGTGTCGACCAGGAGTTCACCAGCGAGTACTCTATAATGGACACAAAAGGGTTCATTCCATTAAATTCCAGAGTGTTGTTGCTGCAAATGGACTTTTTGTGAACCTGTATGGTCCAGTCGAAGGTCGACAACATGATGGTGGTATGTTGGCAATGTCTGGCTTGCTGCCAATGTTAGAGGTTCATTCCATATCACCAACTGGTCAAGCCCTCTGTATTTACGGCGACCCTGCTTACCCTCTTAGGGTACATCTTCAGGGACCTTTCAAGGGTGCTGCCCTGACACCACAGCAAGAGGCATTCAATCTGTCCATGAGTAAAGTTAGAATTTCAGTTGAGTGGGTCTTTGGTGACATTGTAGAATACTTTACTTTCCTTGACTTTAAAAAAGATCTTAAAGTTGGGTGAAATGCTATTGGCAAGATGTATACAGTATGTGCACTGTTGAGAAATGCTCACTCTTGCATATATGGATCAAGTACCTCCACTTTCTTTGGCATTGATACACCTTCAGTGGAATGTTACTTTGCTTGATAAAATCGTTTCAACATGTAAATGTTTACAGGAAATATCCTAACATACCCTAACGAATCTCACTGACATTTCCAAGGAGAGAGAAGCTATAGGAGATAGAAAATACAGCTGAACTGCATACATAAAGGGGAGGTAGGGGGTGGTCAAGGGGTCAAAGCCAAATAACTTCCATCATGGGGTATGAATATTTTTGTAATCAACAGAATTCAATTTCCCTGTTGAAACTATTTTCAAAAGAATTTTGCAAAAATCACCATAAAGAACAACCCAGCCTTGAGAGGCTTTGAGGAAATTAATTTGCCATGAGAATTTTAAGGTTTCTGGGCCCGGGAGCATAAAAGAATTTTAAGATTTAAAAGTGGACGTCATGTGTAACTGTAATCCTCCATGCAGGAGGATTTTCTCATGCCTCTGTGTTTCTTTGGCCCAAATGAGATGAAAAGCTAGCTACTATTTTTGCCAGTTTGCTTTTGGTCCAGTACATGTAAAAATATTCAGCATTTGAAATGGGCCTTTGTACTCCTTAATCAGCCTTTGATTGTATCCACAAAAGCAAGAAAAAATAATCCTGTGGCTCATACAGAATAGTTAAATGTTCAAATGCAACCAGGGCCAGCATCTTTCATATAAAAGAAAATCAACATCAGTTCTTTTATACAGGACTTTAAAACTGAGGAAGAAAAAGATATGTTCAAAAAAGTGCTTTTTTATTTACAGTTGATGGAGAAATTATTTACGTATTGATACCAATATTTCCCAAAGCAAGGTACAAATATTTTATATAGAAAATCATTTTTTGCAAATACATTATTTAACAGTTAATGCATAACAATGTCTTGTAAAAATAGATAAGATAAGAAATCTTGTTTTACAAATTTCTGCCAAGGTAATCTAATTTTCAAAAATATTTTAAATTGCATAAAATTACCCTTTAAGACTGTCAATAAAATGCAAGATAATTAATATTGAGCCTCTCAATCAGTGCCATCAGTAACTGAGTCTGCAGCTGTTGTTGTTGATGCTGCAGTTGCAGCTGGTGCTGCATAAACTGGAACATATTTACATGCTGATGATGCTCTTCCTTTTTCTTTTTTTCATTTCTTTCAGCTCAACAAAGTTTGGATGTTTTCACAACAAAATGTAAATAGTAAATATTAAATAAATTTTATTAAATACTCTATTTTAAAATGCATAAATGAGACTTGTAAAGCATTTGCAATACATGAAATTGCTGAAATTAAAAATGTTAATTCTTGCTGAGTTTTTCAATGTGTCATTAGTAGTTGATTTTGTAGCTGCTGCTACTGATGTTGGAGCTTTTTTTTTTGTTGTTGTTGTTGCAGCTGTTGCAGCTGCACATTTGTAGCTGTTGTGTTTGGTCCCTCTTCCTTGTTTCCAGCTCTTCTTTCCTTAAGTCAAAATCTCTCTCTGCCTTTTCTCGCAGATACACAATGGTTTCTGATGCACTTGCCCTTTTTCTTGGGGTTGCTCCACCATCTTCTTCTCCCTTTCTTGTCAAGGTCTCACCTAGTTTCTCCATGGACAGCTTTCTCAGTTTTACTTCTTTCAGCTTGTTTCCCCTTATCTCCTGTCTCCTTGTCGCTTTCCTCAAATCTCTCGATAATCTGTTCCAGCAACTTATCGATTTCTGACATCTCGGGGGAAATCCCGCTTGCTCGTTCCTCCTCCGTCATTTTCTTTTTGTATTTCCTTGAAAGAAGGGCATACCGGTCTCTAACAGCTCTCTTCTGCCCCAGTCGGTGTGCAAAGGCTTCATAGGCATTTAAGCGCTCTGTTATGTCTTCCCAAATATTCCCTCTCTCTCTGGTGGAAACTTTGTACTGATACGGCTCGGAAACTATTATCTCTTGCAACAAAAGGAAATTGCACTCGGGTTTCCACTCCACCTATCAAATTTAAACATCAAACAACAAACTCATAAGTTCTTACTAATGTTTATTACCCACACTAAGTTTTTGCAAATAAAAAGATTTCGCGATACTGATTCCAACTGGCTCATCAGACCAGAATTTGAAGCTCATTTTATAAATTTGTATCATGGACTTGAGCATCAAAACAAATCACTCCAAAGTAGCGCTCAGAAATCCGGCTCATTAAATTGGCTTACTCACACGCAGAATACTAATACATGCCTTCTTTTTTCTGTTTTTGTTTGGTCTCGTTTTGTTTTCAAGTTTGGGAAAGCAACCTATTGTAATGCATTTCATTTTTGTCAAAAAATAAAAAACAAAACAGAGTGAATCAGAAAAGTCACAAACTAAAACTTCGCCGGGACAGATTTAGTATCCCTCGCAGACAGGTTAAACTAAAAAAATACTTACAATAATTAAACCATTGAAAGAGGATACTGTGGATTAATTAATGTATGAGGTTTTCAAATCGACCCATAAAGAAAAGGTGCCGTAAGTTGTTGGAATGATAGAGAATCAAAATAAAAACCCGCCTTTTATGGAGCGAGTCCTGCTTGTTAAATGCAAATATGCTCTCAATTGTTAGACTCATAAACAAACTTTTAACACGCAAAAAAGTTATTTCTAAGGTTTGAAGGGTTTAGAACTAAAACACTGCCCCCTTTTTAGCCAATTTTTTTTTAAGACAATGAGCTGAAGTGAAAGTAATTGAATGAAAGTAATTACGTTTTCCTCACGACCTCAAAGAGCTTGTTTTCACGTCGTGAACGGCAAGAGGACGGCAGTCGTAAACCGGAAATTACGTAAATATGCTGACGAATCAAGTTGTTACGCTGGTCACACAATGAGATTTTGCCGTCGTCTCCCCTCAACCGTCCTGTTGCATAAGGTCCCTAGTATTAGTTCCGCTTCACTGAGTCCAGACTTTGATAGATGACAGGTTTCAAGCTGAGTTGTAATTGTGTCCTGACATTCATGTACTTTAACCATTTTGGACAAATTGCGCGAACTTCCACATGCTGTTTTCTTAATTTGCCTAAAGCTGCACGATTCGAAATTCATGTTGAAGTTGTGGTATCATCGCTGTAGTATTTGTGCGTGCAAATATTTGGATAACTGGACGAGAAATTTTTCTGTCAAAGCAGCCGGTGTCACGCAATGAAAATTCAGCATCAATATGCAAATTTGAATCGAAAACTTTAATTCTGAACCGCGTTGTGCCACAAGTTTTTTTGCATAAATTTATAGAATACCTCTTTATCTTTAACTAAAACATGTTTTTAAGTCTAGGTTAGGTGCCACTTTTAAGAATGTTGTGAAATTTCTGAGGCATATTTTGGTGCAGTTTGCTTACTTAATTGAATTAGGAGAATAAAGTTAACCTGTTTTTGCTGATTACAGAGAGATACGGCTAAATCGTACTGGAACAGTAAGAAGAAGCATATACTTCCAAATGAGTGCAAATGGTGTAGGTTTTAACGGCCCGCAGTAGCTTTTAACTGTGACCATTGAAAAACGCTGTTCATATTTGTACATGTATATGCACAAAGTACAGTTGGAAATAAAGTGAGACATTTTAAATATCGTGGCATCTGTGTGTACGTGAAAATCATCCTATAAACCTCCTATATTTTTGCTCCTGTGATCCTATTTTCCTACAATTTTTTTTGGAAAATGGCTGAGATGTATGTAATCCTCCAAACACTATTTTCATTTTTCAGTGTCAAGCTTAGTTGCCCATTGAGTTGGGTATATTCCTGTTAAGATGACGTCCCACTCGAGTCCTCTTTGCTGATTACATTAATTAAAAAATTAACATACTCCCTAAAAGTTTAGCAAGCCCTAGCCACATAAAAATTAATTATCTTTAGCTAATATTGGCATACGTAGTCAGGCCAGTCTTGTTTATTTTAAGGTTCAGGTTCAAGTTTATTTCGCACTATTCAAGTTGATACAGTATAAGATGGCTTACAGAATCAGTAGGTTAACAAATAATGAAAAATGAATATAATATACAAGTTTGTTGATATGTGCACCGTGACCAAAGTAGCCGAAGCTTTCGTGTTGGTCACTGTCCCATCTAAGTAAATAGAGAAGTCCAAGATATGTGTGTGGTAATAATAAATTAGGGTATAGAGAACACATGATTGTTCAAGTTGATATATTATTGTAAGTCTGATCGCAAAAAGTTCACTCTCACTGATAGTTTGCAGCCATCTTGGTTCAATCATGTGCTCCAAACGTGAAAAAGAATTAATTTACTCCCTAAAAATTTAGCAAGCCCTAGCCGCACAAAATTAATTATCCTCAGCTAATATTTGTATCTGTATTCAGGCCAGTCTTGTTTATTTTGCAAACAGGAATGAATATCAAGCAGCTAACCTTTTCTAACACCTGATCCTGAGGGTTCACTGACACGGGATTGTTCTTGCTCCTCCTGATTCTATAAAGGAACCTTGAATCAGGAATTATTGGCCATGAAAAAACTAATACTTGTGAAGGGAAAGCAATAACGATAAACCATTGAGGGTTAGCCGGATCTTTAGTAGACCTGGATAAGTAAAATTTTCAATACCAAACGTTAAAATTAGAACAGTAGACTGATCCATACGGCAGGAAGAGCTGTAGGAAAAGGAAAGAAAGAAAATGAAAAAAATATGATATAATTCACCATTTAAATTTGGTTTAAAAAAATTTGGGCTTCCAAGGTAGGAATTTGCGTGGTTCGTAAAACCATAGTTAATTGAGTGGAATGGTTATGAAACCCGTCAGACTCCTTTGTTATATGTTTTTGTGGACCTGAAAGTGCACAACGTTCAAAAGAATTCCTATCATTTTGATTGTATTGACCAATAAAAACGTTGCATTAATTTATTCCGTAACAATTTGCCAACAGAAAACAAAGGATTGTGCACTTTCACGGTGCTTTGAACATAAACTGTAGCACTGTTGTTTTTATCATTGATGTTTGCCGCTTTTCATAACCAGTCTCCTCTAATAACTATGGTAAAACTGATGCGTCAAGATACGCAAAACAGGACAAGGGAAGGAAGCTAGGGAGAAAATTAAACAGGCGGTGTCACCCCTTCTTCCCTTGACCTTGTTTTTGCAATGTTCTGCATATTTGAAGCTGTAGGACAGGCCATGTTACAAACTGAAACTATTCTATCTAGGGTGAGTAACAATAATAATTGTACTTTGTTCGGGGAAAGATGTTTCCACAACATCTTGATTTTTTGAACTGAAGAGTTCTTTAACAAGCTAGGCCAATTCAATTCCATTGATTTGATTTTTTTGTTCCTTTTTTATTAAAGTAATTTTGGCTTGTCAGGTTTTGTGTATATTTTTGAACTGGTAAAGTGGGCAAGTACTCCACACTTGCATCACTGATGTTGGAGGCGCCATCATCAGGGTTCTGTAGACTCGCCATTGTAATCAAATCATTACTCCCCTAGGAGGACATGAGCTTACTGGCAATGAATAATCTTTGCTATAACTGGGAAAATAATCGATTGATTGATTAAATAATTAATTGATTAATTGGGAAAATTGTCCAGATCTCTATAATTGTACATCCTTGACTTAAAGGGTGAGAAACATTCACGTTCAGCCCATAACGAGCCGCACCGTCTTGGCAACCAAAAAAATTTTGTTTATCAAGCTGAGATAGGGGACTAAAAGTCCCCTATCTCAGCTGGATACTCAGAAGCTTGTAACATTCACTATTCCATATATCTCTGATCATATTTCGCATCTAATACGATAGAGGCGTCAATTTTCGCGCCATCATGTCATCATTCTAGGGCGAGAAATTTAATTAAAGCGCAGCATTCAACAAATGTACGGCTCAAGTTTCGGCTAAAATTATTCAGTGCCGTCAAAGAAAAAAACATATTATTAAGGTCTGCTTATAAAGTCGATCACATTGCTAACACAGACAAAAACGCTTAAATATCTCCTACAAAATGAACGGCTGAGTTTGTTTTTTCTACGGGTCAAACTGCTACTATATATCCCAGAAGCGCTCAGGCATAATAATATGCCAGGACTTCTACCTGGATGAACCAGAAAGGATATAGAACAACTACCTATTTTTTTTCTTTTTACGGCTACGGGTCGAAATGCTAAACGTGTTATATATCCTAGAAGCGCTCAGGCATAATAATATGCCAGGACTTCTACCTGGATGAACCAGAAAGGATATAGAACAACTGCCTAATTTTTTTTTACGTTTACGGGTTGAAATGCTAAACGTGTTATATATCCTAGAAGCGCTCAGGCATAATAATAACATGAAAGGACTCTACCTGGATGAACCAGAAAGGATATAGAACAACTGCCTAATTTATTTTTTACTGCTATGGGTCGAAATGCTAAACGTGTTATATATCCTAGAAGCGCTCAGGCATAATGAAATCATGCCAGGACTTCTACCTGGGTGAACCAGAAAGGATATAGAACAACTACCTAATTGTTTTTTACGGCTACGGGTTGAAATGCTGAACGTGTTATATATCCTAGAAGCGCTCAGGCATAATAATATGCCAGGACTTCTACCTGGATGAACCAGAAAGGATATAGAACAACTGCCTAAATTTTTTTTTACGGCTACGGGTCGAAATGCTAAACGTGTTATATATCCTAGAAGCGCTCAGGCATAATGATATCATGCCAGGACTTCTACCTGGGTGAACCAGAAAGGATATAGAACAACTACCTAATTGTTTTTTACGGCTACGGGTTGAAATGCTAAACGTGTTATATATCCTAGAAGCGCTCAGGCATAATAATATGCCAGGACTTCTATTTGGATGAACCAGAAAGGATATAGAACAACTGCCTTTTTTTTTTCTCGTCGTCAAGTTCTAAACGTGTTACTCTTAGAAGCGCTCAGGCTTAATAATATGCCAGGTTTCCAGCGACTGATTTTAGCTGATTTTGCGGTGCGCAAGAATGGATAATTAACCCGACTAGTAAACAGATATTTCCTTCAGCCGATTGTGTCTCATGCAGGAGAATGTCATGTCTGCGTTGTTTTGTTTCTACTGAAGTTTTATCAAAGAAAGCTTAAGCGAAAATAGGGAGATTGCAATTCATACTCTTACGAACTATAAATTAGGGCTGACCTGGAAGACGCGTTGAATTGTGCCGCCATCCTTCAAAATATAACCTGGCTGTGTTTAGGGAGACAATTTCCTCTTCCATCCAGATGTACTTGGTATATGTGTTTGCGCCGAATCTTCAGACAAAGAATTGGGTATACACTGATTCGAATGGCTTGGCGATACTAAGTGCTTAAGTCTACTTACCGATTACAACATGTTTTGAAGTATTGAGAAGCGCCGTAAACGAAGTTGTCACAGCGTTCTCGGCGAACACGGCGCGACCTGGATTGATAAAAATTACCATTACATGCAGGTATCATGCCAGTGATATCTCCTTTCGTCGCATAGTGAATAGTTTGTGAGCACATCCTCGACTCTCGAAACATTTGTCTTGCGCCGCTATAGAAGTTGCTTCTCCCGCGAACCATAGGTAGATTTCCCGCTTAACATAATGTTTGATAATTTATGCAAAAGTTGACCTCGTGGAAGTCAGCAGTGCATTAATCGACTCAAAAATAAACAGACTTCCTACAGGGTTTTGAACACGGTTTTAATTAAAGTACTTTACGAGCGCTGCGGTAGTTGACCGCAAAAGTGTTATGGTGATGGATACTCCACGGGATGATTACGTCACTTCATAGCAACCAGACGGTACGAATTTTTTAACTTCCGGAGCGCTGAGGCTCGTAGTGCCATTAAGTGTAGAGTAGGTAGACTTCAAGGCCAACAGCTTTCCCTCTCTTCGGAGTCGATCCGTTGTTGGAAATGACTGAGAAAGCAATGACTGCTTCAAGCTCCTTCACTGAATTCTCTTTGCGAATATCCTCTCTTCCATGTCCGAGAAAGAAGAATGAAAACAAACAGACTTCAAAGTGGATACGGGCCTTTAATCTTGGGATTTACATCTTTCAAAGCTGTTCTTGAGAGTGCCCCTTCATCCTGGATATGATGGGTACAACTCTCTTGTAAGCGACCGTTCTTGATGCAGGACAAAGTGGTCGCTTATGCTGAGGTGTGGTCATTTACGGGAAATAATTAAGAAAATGAGCTCAAATCGAAGTAATGAACGTGATTACATAAAGTTATTACCTAACAGGCAGCAACTTGCACAAACAGACGACTGCCAATGTTTCAAATCTCAGAACTGTGGAACATTTGTACATAACATCTCAGATCAATGTCAGAATCCATTTTTACCTACATATCATATTACAGCCTTTTTTTTAGTCAACTGCTATAATCTGTGATCACGCTTGGTCAGTGCTTTTTAAAACTGAACTTTTGTGATATTTGAGCAATGGTTTTCTTACAGTCATATGTGACCATGCCGGGTGGTTGCTCACGACAAGCGGTCGCCATGACAGTTGACTGTACTAGGTTTGCAAGGAAAAATTCACCCTTGTTTCCCCAATCAAAGGCCTTATAAGAACAATTGTACAGTAGGAGTCGGGTAATTCTAAACAATCAAACTGATTCGGCTTTAACAATTTATTTTCACTTACCAGATACAGAATGAGGGCTTTATGTCAACAATTTGGTTTGTTTATGGCATGAATTGTGCTCAAAATTGCATTTTGCACGGCCTTAGAGGGGCATGGAGTGTTTGTGGCAAAAATTCAACGAACCTTGATGAGCGAAATGTTTCTCAACTGATTTTGATGATTGGGTCACTAAAGTAAATAGTGGTATAGGTATAGAAGTTATACAAGAAGGCAAGCAGATACACTGATTTTACAACGTAAAGTTAATATAGTTAACTTGTCAATCAGAAAAGGTTCGCAATGTTTAATAAGTTAACTTCAAAGTGTTAATAGATTACCATTTACAGTGTTTAATATTAAGTTAACTACAATGTTTAATATTAAGTTAACTTCAAAGTGTTAATAGATTATCATTTACAATGTTTAATAAGTTAACTTCAAAGTCGTAATAGGTTAACGTTTACAATGGTTAGTAAGTTAACTTCAAAGTCTTAATAGATTACCATTTACAATGTTTATTAAGTAATCTTCAAGTCTTAATAGATTACTTAATTGACTTCAAAGTCTTCAAAAGTTTTAAAATAACTAATATTAATATGTTAAAATACGTTAATTTCAACGCCTATATTTTACACTTGTCAAAATTAAATGAATTAACTATATAGTCTCACTGGCTCACTCGGTTATCAGCGTTATGATTCATGCAAAGAGTTAATATTGGTCAAACATTTTCATGCCTGATATAAAAAAATTTGTATTTCCACCTCTGTCCCATATTTATTACTAAAAGAACCCAAGCGCTGGTTTTCCGATTAACGGCTTGTCAATTTATTAAAATAAATATTTAATCGAAATTCAAATAATGGCAACAAAGATCCAATTATAATGATCTATTTTTACTTAATGAAAGCTCTCACCCTCCTTGCAATATTAAAAATGATCACAATCTCTTGCAACTTTACGCAAAAAAAAAAAAACAACCAACAAAAGAAAGAAAACAGCTGGAGCTAAACAAAACGAAATCGTTGAAATGTTATTGAACTGTTAACTAGAAGTGCAAATTATTTACAAAAGTTTGCGCCATCGTAAACTGATATACTTGGCAAACTTGGCAAAACTTCTTCCATATGGGTGTATTTACTTTGTCTTAAATTTGAATATGTCCTATAAAAGAATCTAGACTAGTTCTCATCATTTGTTTCGATTTTTTTATGCAGAATGCTTAGTTAAATATTCTGTATTATACTGTACAACACAAATGGTCGATTTTTTTTTTGGTGGAGTCATAGAACTGAAAGCAATACAGGTGCGACTTTCTGCAATTTGTTTTAGTGATCACTCATTCACAAGTATTAGAAGAAGGAACGTAGGTGTCTTATCCGATATATGTTATTGATAATAAGCCCCCCGCTTTCTTTACCGTTTATTTAACAGCTTGTCAATTTATTAAAATAAATATTTATTCGACATTCAAATATTGCCAACAAAGATCCAATGATAATGATCTATTTTTACTTAATGAAAGCTCTCCCCCTTCTTGCATTATTGAAAATTATCACAACCTCTTGTAACTTAAGGCAAAAAAACACCCAACCAACAAAGAAGTGAAACTAACCAAAGAGTGATACAGGACAAGTTATGTATCTTATGTATGGATTTATTAAAATCGTCGAGTACTCCACCAAGACGAATCGACTGAGAAGAGAAACTTGCACACTCACACTTTTATATCCAACCTGTATGTAAGTCCAAAGATCACCCCCCTCCCCGCCCCCCACTTCCCCACTCACAATTACACATTGCACGTAAATGAGACCAAGAGTTGCTTCGTTTTTGTAAAAAGACCTTTATGTGATATTTTCTTTTAGTTGAAATATTTGAAAAAGGAAGAAAACAGCTGGAGCTAGACAAAACCAAATCGTTGAAATCTTATTAAACTATTAACTAGAAGTGCAAATTATTTACAAAAGTTTGCGCTATCGTAAACTGATATACTTGGCAAAACTTCTTCAAGGAAAGATTCCATTTAATTAAATATGTACAGTTAGCCAAACTTTAGTGGTATAAACTCTTTTTGACTACGAGTAGTCCCCATTTTTCCTCAGGGATAGCAGAAGGAGCGTGCGTGAACTCTGATATCCCTGAGGAAAAATGGGTACTACTCGTAATCTAAAACTATTCGCAAGATCCTAAAGATATTCACATCGCTTCTAACGCACATAGTTTTGAAAGACACATTCCAAGGCTTACAGTACAGGTCTCTTTGTTTCTTTGTACAGGAAAAATTTGTTGGATTCAGTTACCTTTGCCCATATGAGTGTCTTCACTTTGTCTTAGATTTGAATTCAAGAGTCTAGACTAACTGTCATCATTTGTTGGACTGGACTCGTAGAACTGAAAGCAACACAATTGTGACTTTCTGCAATTTGTTTTAGTGATCACTCATTCACATGCATTAGAACGAGGAATGTAGGTGTCTTATCGGATATATGTTATTGATAATACCCCCCCCCCCCGCTTTCTTCACCCTTTATTTTGTCAATGGACACTCCTTGTATTTTATAGCTGATGTCCAGTTTATCCTAGTATCGCTTCATTTAGTGTATGTCAATAAGTGTTCTTAAAACGTTCTTTGATATTTAAAAATATTTACAATCCAAGGAGAAAAAAGATTTACTTATTATTTAACATTCATATACAAGCTTAAGGGTCCTGGGAGCATGAGAGGCCCCGTGAACGAAAGTACTGCCAGGCCCATACCATTTCCAGGAGACTGGTATTAAAATATAATATGCTTTTGTTTCTGTGCTTAAAGAGAACAACTAGAACCTCCTGTACAGGATTTTAATAGATAGCCACGGACACAGGGGAACCAGGGCCATAGCCTAGATAAAAAAACTAGCTGTTCACAGTCCTTTGCACCAGCTTTAGCTAAGGCAGGTTGTACAAATGAAAGTACAACAATGTTTTGGAAAATTATAAGTTTTGCACTGTGAGTCCAACAACGAAAATTGGTTCAGAGAGGACTCCAAGAAGAAAACCGATAAATCTGGCTATGGGCCGGATTCTTCCTGCATCTCTTTCATAAGAACAGTGTAACTCTTCACTGAAAGGTCTACCAAAGAAGAACTGTCGTTATGTATGGGTGGCCCTTGGTGTCTGTGGATTGCGAAGTCTTGGCTGGGCAGAGAGAGTTGGGCAAACGCCGCCATGAAAAGCACCTGAATCAGAGACAAAAAAAAAATGATGACGTTAGTGTAGCACTTGCCAGGCTGCCAAGCATATTTCAAACGTTTTGAAGGTTGTATAAGACTGAGGCACGCTCCAATCCATTATTACTCAAGGTAAGTTCTATAAGAATAGTTTTTAGATGAATCTCCGACCAGGGGTCTTCAGTGCTTGTAATTTTGCTACTGTTTGGAAGTTTTTTTTAATTAGCCTTTATGGAAATTAAGAGATAATGTAAGCTGTAACTCAAAGCCAACATGACTTCTTTGTCCCTCAAACATTATCCCAGTTTAAAGTAAATTGTACTATATTCCGTGGTGGTCCTGGCATTCATCGCCCACTCAAGAATTTAAGCCGTAGTTAAGTTTCGCTTCTAAATGGTAATTAGCCATGGATAACAACTACAGGTAATTCATTTTCAAACACTTGAACTCCCTCCCAAATGCCTTACTTGATGGTTAGAAAAAAATTGAAAATTGGGAATAGACCAGTTAACCTTGTATGTGTTGTTTTCCCAATAGATGTCGTGGGGAAGTTTATCTTTTCAAAAAGTGCCTGCATTTGCACGTAGATAAGATGAGTATAACGGGAAAGTTCTCTGTGGTATTGGCCATTTTAAAGTTGTAGGCTCAGTATCCTAGCCTTTGAGATACAAAACTCCTTCCTTTTCCTATGGAAATTATGCTTTAAAAATACCAGTTAGCATAAGAACAACATGATTTACACAACAAAGCAGAAAGTGTTGTATCAAAGCAAGGTCAGCCTCGTTTCCAGCGGTGACTGTAAAGTGGGCTATTATCACATGATCCTAATTGGAAAAAAAAAATTAAAAAGGCCTATTGGCAAGCTTGCAAAGAAGTTTAACTTTCTTGCTTATGACATGGGTAATTCACTTTGTTTTACCTGTGTGGTGTCATGATTGAAAAAAGTCCTTAGGACAGAATTTCCATTTGGGCCACGGATTCTCACTGTCAATGTGTTTTCATTTTCCAGAGGCTCTGGAGGTAGCCCCTCTCTTGCCTTACGTATTGCCTATAAAGATGAGGGTTTGTTTTGAATTTTACTGGTGTTAATTGATATTTCTCTTGTATCAGACACTGAAGCACAAGCTTCAGGGAAAGCATAACACGTGAATAAACACTAGTGTAATTAAGAAGCCCGAAGTGACCTAGTGTCATGTTCATCCCAAAGGAAGATCATCTTATTTTTACTTGACATCATAATATCTGAGAGCCTGGAATAGGTTAGGAGACATCTCTAATTAACTGCAATTTTGTCTAAATAGATGTGATTTTCTTTGTACAAAAGGTAGCCAGAACCCAGTTTCTCAAAAGATGGTTAAGCTTAATCCAAGATTAAGCCAAATTTAAGCGAGGCTTTCTTGTCAAAAAACATGCAACTCAAGCTTACAAAATGCTGTTCAGCACTTACTCTGAGATACCGTAATGATAACA